CATGAAATTTTTGTATTAGATTAATATTTACTATATAAATATCCTAATATGTATTTTCCAAAATAATAAAAAAAAATTAGGAGATCAATTTTTTGTTGATATTTCAAAATCCCTCAAAATTATTTTAACACTTAAGTGTATGTTAAAGATTTTTGTATTCTGTGAAAAATATCTAATAATTTTTATTGCTTCAGTTAAATTTAGTGATGTGTAAAGTAATGTTTTCTTTCAAAGTAATTTAAAATTGTTTAATTATATTTTTATATTTTATTATTTCCTTAATTGTTTTTTTAAAATTAGAGCTAATAAGACATCTGCCTTGAATGACCCATAAGTAAATGTTTTTAATTATTTTAAATATTTTCTATTTTGTAAAGACTGTAAACTAAATTTAACTTAAGGACTTTCTGCAATACTTTAATATTGAGCCATTTTTTATAAATTTACAAAAATATCGTAAATTCCAAAATTGAAATTACTATACTTATCTAAAAATCAGAATTTCCGGTGTGGCATTCCTCTCTTATCTAATGGTATAATTTAAATTAGAGCACATAATTATCCAAACTAATGAGAACATTGTTCAACGAAAAGAAAGTTTTCGAAAATTAAACAACTGATTTACCTCGTAATTGTTACGTTCATTGTAAAAACTTATACTAAATATATACTAATTTTTACAATTAAAAGCATAACTGGTTTGCATGTTATCTACAAGAGAAAAAAGAACTTCACAATGAATAATTTTTCCTCTATCTCTACTTCTCTTGAGAAAAATATATACTACACTTTGTCTGTTTGTCGTCGTTTACGATTTCCCTCACGGGAATAATTCGTCTTATAAGGAAAAATGCTAACGTTTACAATTTTCCGCGGGAATCCCTCTTTCATTTTTAGTACTCGTTCTCGTTTCCTCATTTTGAACATTACATCTGTACTATAGTTTTTCTTTCTCTTTTGTTATCATCTATTCTAGATTCCTCTTCTTCTAATCTTTAAAATTTTCCTTCTCTACAGCGTTCTATCTTTTCAAACAAAAACTTACATCTCCGACAATTCGCTAAAAACTGTCGTTGAGATAAGTTTAAAGAGAGTGAATCACATTATAAAGTCAACCATACCAACCAATATTTTTGATTATCTCTCTAACTGTAAAAATGAGTCCGATTGAACTCACTAAATGGGAAAAAAGTTCCTCTCTATTTTTATCCCTTTGTTTTCAGCTCTCATATCAAATTCATTTTGGAATTTAAAGAGCTACATTCCAGCACTGAACGCATCAGAAAAATCTTTAAGATTCCTTTCTGCGGTTATAATCTTTCATTCTCATTTTTATAAAGAAAGAATTTCCAAAACAACATTCTTATTTCTTTTGTCAATTTTGTAACTCTATTTCTGACTTGACGTTTTTAATATCAAAATCGATAGCAGTATAGGGATTCGGCAGATGTAAAATACTGGCTTGAATTTTTTGAAAGATCACCTTTCGTTCAGCCCCTCGAAAGTGGCCGTTTAACGCAACAGGACAAAAGGGTCAGAAAAGTCACCGTTGTCTCGTAGAGTAAATATTCCTCTATAGATGCTATAGATTTAGAAGAGAAATGTCCTATGGCGAGTATAAGGCCCCTTCTTTCTCTCAAATCAAAAAATAATTCAGGACAATGAAAAGTGTGACGCTCCAAAAGAATAAACAGCATTGATTATATTTACCGTTCGGATCACACACGCGCAAAAATCCTAGTACACAACAAGTAATTTATTGACTCCCCTTATATTATTCCTCAAACATATCCTTAACTAAACACTATTCTATTTTATTTCTCCAATTTTTTTTTCCATTTCTCGGTGTGGTTAAATTTCAAAAGAACGCCATATGTCCATATAGAAAAAAAGAAAGAAGAAAAAAATTGCGTGGCAATCAATTCGCAAAATGGAAATAAAATATGAACGTATAAAAGGGAATTCAAATTGAAGATAAATTTTGTTATTGCAGAAATCGAGATATATTGGACATTTTATTGAAATGTAATTTTTATCGTTTTTTTTTTTTTACTTTTAGCAGTTTTGGGTTACAGTTGATTTTGAGTAATTGAAACTTTTTTCTATTTTGATAAACGTTTCAATTGAGATATTGCAAGAATTGTTTAATATCCTCTGAAATTTTTTTTTCGTTATATTTACAAATTTTTCAATGACATAAATAGTAAAGTTAACAGAAATTTGTTTTATACCGCAGAACAAGCTCTGTTTATTCTGAAAATTACAAATATTAAGTCAACATTAAAGAGAAATGTTCGATTGATTACTTTTTTTTTAATATGCTGTTTCTTACAGAATATTTGTCATAGATTATGAATTTATAAGTAATTAAATTTTTTTTTAAACTAAGCCTCAAACAAAAAAAGTTTATTAATTTTCAAGAGACATCAAATTCTTCAGTTTGTCTTGTTTTATTAAAATTAGCATAATTTCTGAAATTATTTACAAGTTTTAATGTTTTTTTGACTTATTTTAAGGGTAATTTTCCGTTTTATTTAAATACCTAATAGTTATTGCATATTGTGATAATTCTTCTAAAAAAATATGCCACCTTTGGAAGCTGATTAAAGAAATTAAATCATCGTATTTTTTTTTTTATTATATTTTGAAGACTCTTCAACATTTTCCGAGTTGTTCAGACTGAAATTAAAATTTGCTGAATTCTGCGTAAAATAATCTATTGATCATCGGTTTTAATTAACTTCGACGAATTTTATAACTAAAAATATAAAAACACATTTTTTTTCTGCAATTGTTTTAAACTTTGGTAAATTACATTTTTAGTGAAATATCGGTTTTAAATTAATATTTTTTCAAGTTTCAACTTCTTTGTCTTAAATTAAAGCTTATTAATTTCTGCTTTAAATGACCTTTTCTTAAAGATATTTTTGGTTCTTGTTAAAATTTCTTAATTTTTTTTTTGGTCTCGAATTAAAGATTATTAAATTCTGTGTAAAATAACCTAGCTATATAAAATAACTTTTATTTCAAAGAAAAATCGTAATTGCTTGGAATTTCTGACAAAGTGTGTTAATTTGAAAATAAATTTTACTAAATTTTAAGTATATTTTACTAATTTTTAATAAAATTCACTAATTATGAAATTTACTCCGGAAATAACGATTTTTAATAGCAAAACTTACTATTTTCAATGTTAATTTTTATTATATAGAAATTATTCAAATTTTTCTCGAACATTACAATTAATTAATTTAGCACTCGATGGTATTTAATAATATTCAAGACTTTATCAATATTATGACAATTAACTATTAAAAATTGTTTTTGAATAAATTTTAGGTACTAATTTTTATAGTAAATTTTTATAATTTTTATAAAAAAATTGTCTTTGGAGATAGTGATTGAGAAATAGAAAATTTATTTATTTTACCTTATTTTTGTTTATGAATCACATTTTTTCTAACAAAATTAATATTTTGTTTTAGAAAGAGAAGAAAAATATTTGCACAATTCCTATTTTTAATCTTATTTTTGGAACATGATTTTGCACAAAAATTAAGATATTCAAAATTTTCAAATTCAAACATTTTTAAATTAAACAACTTATAAAAGTATTTGTTATAAAACATGAAGATATATCGATTGCTCCGAGTCGAAGACCCGGAGTGATCGATTTCTTCATGTTTTATAATAATTAAACATGACCAAGTAATAAAATCATTATTTTATATTATAAGAATATTGTTACTGTAATTTCATCAACATTATCTTCAGCATTTCAATTCAATTATTATTTTCTAGAATTTAAAATTATTTTTTATAAAAATAATAATTGAATTTCTTTAAAAAAATTTATTATTTATGAAAATAATTAAATTCGTGTGAAATTTCTATTATTTATGAAAATAATTAAATGTTTGCATTCAATTTTATTAAAAAAATTTTTTAAATAATTGAATTTTTTTGGGTAATTTTATTAAAATAGTATAGATTGAATTTTATAAGAAGAATTTTAATTTTTTTTAGTCATTGAATTTCTGCAATTATTTGTAATTTCTCCAAAATCAAATTTTTTTAGTGTTTTCAACAAAAATTTAAATTAGAAAATTTTTAAATTCTATTATTTTTAATAAATTGTTAATTTTATTTAAAAAAGGTAGTAAGAAGTTAGCCGCGCGAATTGTTGCTAGTTTTGATTAAAAGTTTAAAGAAAGTTACAGACGGCTGAAAAAGATAAAGAAAAATCAATAATTAATGGGAAAAGTTTAACAAAAATAAATATGTTTTTTTGATTCTAAAAAGCTGTAGTTATGCAATAGTCTTAAATTACTTTCTTTCATATTTTTCTGCAATTTTTATTGGAAATTTAAGGTTTTTGCCAATAAATTATGTAAAATATAAAAATGTGACAACATTAATAGGTTTTCGGAAAAATAAGAAAAGTGTAAATAAAATTATTCTTCAGGTTAAAGAAACAACTAGTTTTCTATAATTAGTCAAGTATTTTTTCCCAATAAATTATTATCAAAAATCGTATAATTATTTTACTATTTTCCGCATTTTCGTCGCAAAGTTGAACTTAATGTAATAATTAATATTTCAATTATTTTCGTAAATTAGTTATTGTATTAAATTATATAATTTGTATTATTTGATAATCCGAGGAAATACGATATAATATGGTAATAGGAAAATAAAATAATTATTAATATAGAATCATTATAGAAATATACATAATAACGAGATGTAATTACCTCGTTGATAATAATTTAAATCAATGCATATGGTGAACTCAACCCTTTTTCCCAGTGTTCAATTATATTTTTTCCCAACAACAAATTTACTAACCAACAGTAAATAATTATCAAATATAGAATAATGAGTCCTTTTAAAATTGCTTAAAGTGATATGGACTAATTTTTCCGTTTGTTATCACTTATAGAAATAGGAATAATGTTTCTTTAAATGATAGTGTGTAATAGTAACTGGTTTATGTGACCCGTGTGTTAGCGAAACATTAACTTTTCAAAATAGTTAATAGCACAAGTATTTCTGAACTTGTTGAAGCAGTTTCTCTCTCAAGAATAAAAGAAAGAAAAATTGTACTATGTTAAAATTTATGTATCTGTTGCTTCTAACTTTTTCAACAAAGGTCAAAGCGCAAGTAAGTTATTCTATGACATACGGAAAAATATATAAAGTAACTTTTACCGTTGAACAAAGTACAGAAAGTGTGCCTAATTTCTGCGCAATTGCCAACAAATATTTTCGTAGTAAATGTTTTATACTTTTTTTTAATTCTTTGCTATTTACTGGTTGAAACGATTCTTTCGGGGGAGGGAAAATTTTTTCAATATTAAAAATTAAGAAATTTTCTGTCTGCTATTTTTAATTTTTAGAACGGTCTCTATCCCTTAACGAATAAATTTACAATAACAAACTACGAAATACAACCCAACAATGAGTTTCTCCAAGAAGAACAAAGGGGTTTTATAATGTGGATGAGGACAATAGCGCGAGACACAAATGAAATAAAAGTAAGATTATTTTTACATTCTCATTTTAAGAACAAAAAAAAAAAATTACTAAATGCTTGTAATATTGTATATTAAAAAAAAAGACCGCAATAGATATTAAAAATGATATAGCATCTACTACAATACAGGTTTATGTCCAATCATTGTCCGTTCAACAACTTTTGCCAGCTGGAGATTTATGTTCCCCAACATTTTTCTTTGAATATCTTAGACAATTGACTGCTGTTTTATCAAACGGTCGATCTTGTCCGATAAGAACGGTGCGTAGAAAAATATATTCGAAACATTATTTTTTTTTTAATTCACATTCTTAAAAAATAATTATAAAAATTGAAATGCAGGGCTCAAACTAGGTCCGTAAATCCGGTTAAGGTCCGTTTTGCTTGAAGTCCGTAAAAGTCAGTTTTTTTAAAAAATGGCCGGTAAAGTCCGTCATTTGATTAAGAAAAAACGAAAAATTCGTAAATTGTATACGATATAACTTGGAGAATTATAGAGGAATCACAAATGATTAATGCAGAAATTCGATTATTTTCAAAAGTAATAAAATTCTTCGCAAAAATTCAATTATATTAAAAAATCTTTTTAAATTATCGTCAAAATATCAAATATCTTCAGAAATAATTAAATTCTTCTTCAAAATTAAATTATTTTCAAAAATTTTAATAAAATTCTTGGCAAAATTTCAATTATTTTTCAAAAATTTTCCTCAATTCAATGATTTTTAATAAATTTACTATTTTAATAAATTTTTCTAAAAGAATTCAATTATTTAAAAAAAAATTGTAATAAAATTCTACGTAATTATTCATTAAAAATTTTATAAAAATTCGTCAAAAGAATTCAATTATTTAAAAATTTATTCATAAAATTCTTTACGAGAATTCAATTTTAAGAAACATGCAATTATTCAATACATTTTTTTTTGTATTAAAATTATTGAATTCTAATAGAATTTCTAATAAAAATTGATTTAAAAATGGATTTAAAAATGGATTTCATTTAAAATTTCAAATTATAATTGAATATTAAAAGCATTTATAAGTGAATTTTTTAATTAAATTTTGAAAAGATTTCAAATTACAATCTTTGAAAATCTTAATTTTTCATATTTTTAACTAACAATTCTTTGGAATTAATTTTTTTAAGACATGACAGTTTAATTGTCGTATTTTTAAATTATTTCAAGTTTTTGTTATCTAATATAATATTTATAATTGAAGAAATTACGAATAATTGAAATTTTGTAAAATTAAATTGTAAACAAGTGAAATTGAAAATTCTCAAAGAACATTTTCAAAAATTATTAAAAATAATGCATTTATAGAAGAATTTTAATTAAGAACACGAAAAAAATTTAATTTTGAAAAAGTTACAAATTATTGCAGAAATTCAATTATTTTTAAGAGTAATAATATTCTTCGTAAAAATTAACTATTGTTTAAAAATAATAAAATAAATTCTTCTTAGGCATTCCATTATTTTCGCAATTAATAAAACTCATCGCAGAATTTTAATTATTTTTAATACAATTTTAAACAAATTTCTCGAAAAATGTAATTATTCTTAAAAATATATTAAAATTCGTTGGAACAATTTAATTATTTTTAAAAATTCTTTATGGGAATTGAATTTTAAGAGACATTCAATTGTTCAATAAATTATTTATTTTTGTATTTAAGGAATGGAATTCTTATAGAATTTCTTAATAAAAATTGATTAAAAAATGGATTTCTGTTAGAATTTCAAATTATAATTGAATATTAAAAGCATTAGAGCGTGAATTTTTAGAAATAATTGAATTTTCAAAAGGTTTCAAATTATAATCTTTGAAAATCTGAATTTTTCATATTTCTAACTAACAATTCTTTGGAATTAATTGTTTTGAGAAAGTTTAATTGTGGTTTTTTTTAAATTATTTGAAGTTTTTATTTTTTAATATAATATTTAATTGAAGAATTAACGAATAATTAAAGTTTCCTAAAATTGAATTGTAAACAAATGAATTTGACAATTCTCAAAGAACTTTTTTAGAAAAAAGAATTTTAGTTAAAAATGCGAAAAAAAAATTTAATTTTGGAAAAGTTACAAATTATTGGAGAAATTCAATTATTTTCAAGAGTAAATAACACTCTTCGTAAAAATTAACTATTGTTTAAAAATAATAAAATTCTTCTTAGGCATTCCATTATTTTCACAAATAATAAAACTCATCAAAAATTATTCTAAAAAATTTTTTTTAAAAATTCGTCGAAAGACTTAAATTTTTTTAAAAAATTTGTTGATAAAATTCTTTATGGGAATTAAATTTTAAGAAACATTCATTTGTTCAATAAATTATTTATTTTTGTATTTAAATAATTGAATTCTCGTAGAATTTGAAAATTGATGTCAAAGAACTTTTTCGAAAATTATTAAAAATTAATATAGATAATCGATTTAAAGAAGAATTTTAGTTAAAAATTCTTGAAAATAATAATTGAATTGATAATGATTTTATTACTCGGTCATCTTTAATTATTATAAAACATGAAGAAATCGATCACTTCGAGTCGAAGACTGGGAGTTATCGATATCTTCATGTTTTATAGTTATGAAAAATTTAATTTCTAGTTTTAAGTAAATTTTCTCTTATTTGACTCGGACTGCTTATACTTTTGTCAGTAATTGGTCCTTAATTTTTCAATTTTTGGTCCGTATATTTTTAAATATACTTTCACTGGTTCGAGCCCTGGAAATATATAATTTAAATTATACGAATACTTTCGAAGAATGATAGCATAAATATTAATCTCATTGTTCACAGGGAACAACGATCGACATATTCAAACCATATACTGAAAATCTTATGAATCCCCGAAAAACTTGTCTTGGTACACAGTTTCTAAATTTTACACTATATGACAAATTGGATAAATTCAAGTTAATTACTCTAGAAGCAGAAACAACGTCCAGTGGTCAAGCGTGCGTTAATGGTTAAAAACATATAAACCATTTTTTTTCCACTAAATTATCTGAAACTTCATATTAAAAAATTATGAAAAAAATTGAGGTACTATTTTTTCTCATTAAACACAAGAGTACTTGAAATGTACAATACTTTAATATAATAAAAAAATGTGTTATAGTAATTTAAGTAAAATGAGTGTAACTTAATGAAAATTTAAAAAAATTGTAAAAGGTCCATAATATGATAAAAATGTAAATCAAAATACATTTTCCTCATTTTCACGTTGTTTTGGAATTCATTTAAACGTAACACAATTATATTCTCATTAAGTATGTGTTTATCATTAATCTAGATTAAATGCGTGTTTCTCTCATAATTTCTATTCTTCAAAAGGGGAAAATATTCAGAGTAGAGAGAAGGAGAGAGAGAGGGAAATATACATTTCGAGATGTTTAACATTAGTTACTCATAAATTGGGACAATTGTATTTCTTTTCAGAGGATTTTTCTTAGGATTTACTCTCGTCATTATGCAAAGCTTCTTTTTCCCCACGCCCTGATTTCACCATTGTTTCACTTCTCGTTAAGAGTCGTAACTGATATTTTATTGTTTTTAAGAACGGGAACGGTGAATGTCATAAAAAAATATATATCAGACTAGAAAAATACATTTATAATTTTAATTAAACAGTTTAATTGTTTCATTGGATTAGATTTTTTTTTAATTATTCATTTCCGAAGGAATTGTATTTTTATGTGTGTATTTATTTGTCTAATTTTATTTACTGACTTTGTATACTTATCTACACTAATACCTATACTATTTACTACATTTTTACAATTTGATACTATTTTGATACCTTTTTTTTTATTTGTTATAATAAAAGCTACTTTTTTCTTTTCTATTTAAGAATTTGCACTACTTTTAATTCGCTAATAGTTGGAATAAACGAATTATTCTTAAAAATTTTAATAAAATTCTTTGATATAGTTGAAAAGAATTCAATTATTTAAAAAGAAATTTAATCACAAACATTCAATTATTTTTATAGATAATAAAATGTTCACAAGAATTCAATTAGTTAAAATATAATTTTCATAAAAAAAAAAACTTTTATAAAATTGTTCGCAAGAATTCATTTATTTTTATAAATAATAAAATTTTTTTGTAAAATTCAATTTTTTTTATAAATTTTAACAACATTTTTAGAATTTTATTTATTTCAATAAATAAAATAAATTCAATTATTAAAAAAAAATGTTTATAAAATTCTTCGCAAGCATTCAAGAAATTATTTTCTCAAATAATAAAATTTTTACAAGAATTCCATTAGTTAAAATCCAATTTTCAAAAAATTTTGAGAAGAAAATCAATTATTTAAAAAGATTTTTATAAAATTATAGTCAAGAATTTAATTATTTAAAAAAAATTAAATAAATTGTTCACAAGAATCCAATTATTTTTTTATAAATAATAAAATTCTTCTCGGGAATTTAATTTTTTTCAAAAATTTTAATAAGATTTTTATGCAAGAGAAAAGAAAACAATTATTTATAAAAAAATTATTTTAATTCTTTGCAAACATTCAATTATTTTCATAAATAATAAAATTTTCATATAGGAATTCAATTATTTAGTTGAGACACAATTTTTATCAAACTTTATGAAAGAATTTGTATTATTTAAAAAAATTTTAATAAAATTCTTCGTAAAAATTCAATTATTTAAAAAAATTTTAATAATTCAATTTTAAAAGATATTCAGTTCATTCAATAAATTATTTTATTTTGTATTTAAATAATTAAGTTTTAAGCTACTTTTTTAAATTTAATTATCGAGTACGAAGTCTGTATTTATTCTAAATTTATTGAGTTGTTTTTCGGTAGTTTAGGCTTAGGTCGATTGCTACTTCTTTGAAAGTGTACATAGTAGCAAATACAAATACAAGCGTGAATGTTTTTGAAAAAAAGGGGAAGCCCATACAAGCGGCCGTTAAGACGTAACCACTGCATTCTGGCACGTTTTTCTAATTTTATGACTGAACTGTTTACAGAAACACCGGAAATATTCAATAATGCTGGATTTTATTTTTGAAAAATCTATAAATAATATTTGAGTATTAAATTACCGAATCAACTGTTGATATAATTAATGCAAAATATCGCATCCCTTGGAAACGAACTTTCGTTTGATGCTCCATCTACGACGCATTTACGACAAGTGACCAACATTTCTCTCATAGAGTGCCAGTGTCACTCTCCTTTTTTGAGTTTCGGACTTATTTTTGAACTTATTCCGACAAATTAATACGAAAATGGAAAATATTCCGTAATTTTTGTTATTATTTCGAAAGTAATAATCGTAAATCTTTTTTGCAAAATAAATTAAATATTAATCCGAAATTGATACAAAATTTTAACCAGAAGGGCGATTTTAAAATTGACTTTGACTTTTCATTCGATTTTAACAATGAAAGTCAAAGTGATAGTTAAAGTCAAAATGAAGGTAAAAATGAAAGTCAAAGCAAAAGTTAGAATTAAAATCAAATTCGAATCGAATATAAAAATGAAATAGGTAGCAAAGATTCTACCTTAGAAATAGAATAGAAAAATAAATTTACAAAATTTAATAGGTACAATATTAAACGTAATAAAGTTACGATTCAAAAAATATGTTTCGAAATGCATTTAGCGTCAAAGAGAAAATAAATTCGATGTCGAAATAAAGTAGAAATAGTTCATAATAAATAGTTCCCTCAAAGGGAACTACAATTGCGTAATCGACATAAAATTATTCAAAAGGTACACCACAAACAATTTTATATAAAAAGAAAAGCGTAAAAGTGTATAAATAGAAAACGAATAGCAATTCATTGAAAATATATTCAGTACCAAAATAAACACAGACTGAAATATTTTAATATTTATAAAGAAAATTTCGTTTAGATTTCAAAGTTACACAATCTCAAATTAAGTCTTCTCAATTTATAATCGAGATTTATATTTTCTAGATTTCTACGATTTCCAATATTATTTTCACACATTCAACTTGAAATTCAATTTTTAATATGAAATTTTACATCACTGAAAATAAACTATTAACCTTTAATTAAAAACACTTGTTACATAATACTCACTATTCAGTCAGTGCATTTTGTTTAATTTTCAACTCTTTCATAAGTACAGCGAATACAATTTTTATAACAAAAAAAAAAGGAACAAAAGAAAATCATATTGCTTTGGTAGAAAAACATAACTTGCAGCAAAAAAAAAAATATCGCTGGATTATTTTATATTTTCCACGAATCATAAATTATAAAAATAATAAAGTTTTTACTGTTGAAAATATTAGAGACCTTTTGTGTAAGTACAAGTAGCAAGTGCTTTTCTTGGTAGTGATTTCTGATACGTAATTTATATAATATTGGGCTGACCTCGGGCGGCTGTAACGCCTTCCAACTATTGCATCCAGTGCAACGTGCAGATCGCATCGTGATCTCTTTTTCTTTTTCAGAGTAACTCTTTAGGGTCAATTACACTCCAGAAACTTGAATCTAAGGAACACGTTCAAGGACTCGGTGCAAAAGGTTGTAATTCTCTATAGGACAAATGGACCATTTTTTTTATTTACAATCATGTTTTTTAAAATAAAAAAACAATTCCTTATTTTTATAATATGTATTTGAATTTTTAATTTTGCATAAAAATGAACAAAAAATGTTTAGTTTCAGAGTCGGTTGTTAGTTTTTCAAAATTCAATATGGCGGATCCAATATGGCGGAAGATTTTTTTAACAGAAACGTGAAACGTTTTAGCTACAGCTAATTTTTGAGATATAAATACAACCCAATTTTATAATAAAATTTAAAAATAAATTACAAATTCGAATTTATAAGCGAAAATTCAAAATTATCAATAGACTCGATAAAACCATCACAGAATTAAAATAATCCACCTCTCTTACCTATACCTGAACGTCAAATGCACACTGAACCAGATGATGGGAATCCCTTAGGGCCTACACACAACCTCTGGGATTTAAATTCAATATAATGGTGGATCTGCAATGTCTCCAATTCTCTTTTATTTAAATTTTACCTCATTTTATCGAAATAATCGAAATAATCGAAATAATTTAATTAAATTTGTAATTATTTACCGAAAAAATGATAATACACTACTTATTTACTTACCTTTAATTTAAAAATTTATTACTATCGGTTGCCATTAATAATCTCGTAATTTCCAGAAGAAATAATAATTTCAATTCTAAAACCTAAATGGATAATGCTTTTGAGGATTTTAACGTTAGAACATTTCGATATCCGAAAGCTTTTTCATGTTGCACAAAGAAAGAGCGAAAATTGCATCGTAGCTTGCTACCTTTTTCAAAGCGACTCATCCGGCGAATATATCGATGCTTCCGGCATATAAAATAGACTATAGATAGAGTTTAGCTAACGTTTAGAAGTCATAGTTTGAAGCTTGTGAAAGGACGGCCAAAGTGTACGAGGTCAGATATGTACATGAAGCAATATATTCTTTACATGCTTAGAAAAAAAAACCATAAAATTATTTAAATATTCAACGTCAGTTTCGAAACTTATCAAAAAAAAAAGAAAGAAGAAACATTGTTATCTAGAAATAAAAAAAGAAAATATTAATTTTAAATTAAAATATTTCCCTTATTGTAAAGAAGTTGTAAATTTTTATGAAACTGATTTTATCCTCATAAAACTATATTCTTTAGAATTCGTTTAAAACAGGAAATAGCTTCATAAAAGGACAGGTGTTCACATAAACTTTTTTTTTTCTACAAAATTGTTTCTAAAATGGTACTTCCGACTTTCGAAAAATCGTCAAATTATAAAATTGTTTTATTATAAAACCCATTTTTTTGCCAAACGATATTTTTTTATTTAAATTAATGAATAATTGTATAACCGGAAGTAATGTCAGATTCCCAGCTTTGTGAAAAATGGAGCAAAATATTCTAAATATACTAAAGAAGTTTCTTTTAGCAATAATAAAATAAACGAAGATATTCAGACAAACATTGTTTAATGTTACTTCAACATCAATCAAAAATAATAAAAAAAAAGTAAAAAATACAGTTTTACCTAATTAAAATACGAAATAAAATTAAGTTATAACTTAACAAAAAATAAATAAATAATCCATTATCTTTAATAATCTTCGTATACCATTCTTTTATTGTCTGTCCACACTTTGAAGTTAGTTTTTCTGTATG